AATCTGTCAAGGCAATGGACTGGACACTGAGAAAAAATAATTAATATGTGGACCTCAAACAACATTATACCCTGACTTCCCGCCACTCCACTGACCTGAAGCGCCTTGGTGCCTCCCTCCAGCTGGCGAACCTGTTCCGACACGACCTCCGCGCGCCGCTGGAGGCCGCTGAGCCGGCGGCGGCAGGCGGCGGCGCGGCGCGAACCCGGCTCATCACCATGTCGGAGACGGCCTGCAGCTGGTCCAGCACGTCCGCTATCTGCAGCAGCGTCTCCTGCGGCCGCAGGTCCGAGGAGACCAGCGGCACCGTCACCGGCACGGCGGCCGGCACCGTGGCTGGCGTGGTGGCCGGCGCGTCCATCGCTGCCGCGGTGAGGGCGAGAGGTGATCGGAGACGGCTCAGACAGGAAGGGTAAACACAGATTCTCAGTTGATTTGAAATTTTGCCAAGATATCAAACTCAGTCAAACTGGTTGTTCCTGCCAAAGTGCTGATCTGGTAAGGGTTGGGAAAGGACCATCACAGGCAATGCCAATCGCCAATATCCATCCAGTCCAGCCATCAACCATTCTGACTTCTCCTTCCATTTAGACGTATATCTAGCTGCTGCTGCAGCAAAAGCTAATCAGATCCTGGGTATCATCAAACGTTCGTTCGAGCTTATTGTCAAGTCCACCCTCCCACTGCTGCCAGACTGGAAAACATCCATACACTATGCCGGACACCTGTGAGACCCTCTTGCGCCGAAATTCGTCGCAAGCGATTTTGCGCTGAAATTTCTGTGAATTGCGCCAAAAGTTAGGTGCTCAATGCCCATTTGTGCGAAAATTAAGCCCTTTTTATATAAAGCACATGTGACATGTCATGTGCACATCTACCGATCAAGGCTATATGAACCAGACAGAGTGTTCCGGGGCCTTGTACGCTCTCCCATGTTTGAGCGTCCGAATGAGTTTTTGACTTCCACGGAAACCCAATACCTCAATAGTCTTAGCGCACTCTAGCTTCATGCCGTGAAACAAAGCTGGAGCCGTGAATTCCGGGGCCACACATTTGTGCTGATGTTAATATCGGCGGAGCAGTGTGTTCGAGGCTGGCAGGAGTCAGCGAGGGCCGGGCAGCGGGACAGCATGTGCTCCGGCACATCACCCTCTTCTCGGAACACGGCACTCGGCACACGGGGCACCGCTTGTCTGGGCACTGCTGGCACGCCGCGGAGTGGAGACAGCCGATTCGGTGCCGTATTAGTATTGGAGCGAGCGGCCCCAGTGGCCCGCCCTCATCTGGTGCACCGAAACGGCATCCTCGGTCCTCTCCGGGGATAGGGAGCGGCGGCGTGCTCTCGAGGAGTGGCTTGAAATGAATAGTGATTCTGAGCAGTTGTCGCGCTCTGCGCCGGACAGTGCGATGCGAGGCCGCACAGTGAACCGCCCTGGTCAGCGAGTGGGCGTTCGAGGGCAGGGCGGCCGCCTGTCTTGCCAGGTCGTCCGCGCTCTCATTCCCCTCGATACCGCAGTGGGCAGGGACCCACTGCGGTATTGCTTAAGGACGCTTGACGATGTTCAACAAGGTCTTCTTTACTTATCTCCACGCCGAGGGTCCAGTGTTGGTGTACCGCATAAATTCGGTCATCTATTTCGCCAAAAAATTATGCGACCGCCCTGCCCCGAAAAGTTCGTCCGCCGCCATGCGCGGAATTCGGCGCATGCGAAATTACACCGGACGTGCGCTGAAATTGTTGGCGCAATCCCGCCACTACGCCAGACATATTCGGCATAACGTGTATTTTTTCCAGTCTGGCACTACTGTACAAAATGCTTGTACGCCCACACTTAGAATATGGTAACGTGGCATGGGGCCCATTCAATCGCGCCGACCAACTTCTGATCGAACATGTTCAAAGGAGAGCAACGCACCTGGTAACTTCAATCAGACATCTTCCCTATGAGGAGCGACTACAAGCACTGAAACTGCCTTCGCTGTTCTATCGTCTGCGTCGAGGCAACATGTTACAAAGGTACCAGCTATTCCACTGAGGCGTCGACCTGGCTCTGGAAAACTTCTTCTCTGCGGCCATGGATGGTCATACTCAAGGTCACGCACCTCACAGAAGGTCCAGAGCCAGAGGTAAGGTAAGGTATATGTGCATTTGGGAATGGGACAATTTTCAGTTGGAATTTTCAGTTTTTAGTGACTGGTGATATGAAGGAGTACAATCCCCCCATAAATGACCTGGTTTAATGCTGGAAAATAATCAGAGCCTTTTTAAATGAAAAAATGTTTGACATTATACATTACTCTCAATTTCTTTCCTCTAAAATGCAGAATATTCCCAAAACGAGCTTAAATGGAGTTAGAATGTGATTTATTGAATTAGTAAAAAGATGAAAAATGGATGTCAGAAGAAGCGACCTTTAAAAAGCTAACTTGCTTGCTGCTGGGTTGGGACGCGATGCATTGCGGTACAAAATAAGTAGTAAGGACCTGTTCGAAAATGAAAGTTTTCAAATCACGACTTTGAACTGATCGCCAATTGCCTGGCAACAGCGCAAGAATAGCAAAGAAAGGCTAATGTTGCTAGGCAACTGATCTGTATCCTGCTATCAACAATGTATACGTAACCAATTCGAACACCATTTTTCGAGCATTTATGCCACAATCGCGTCATAGTCGTATACAATATTGCCTTCATAATGACTTGAAGGTTTTTGGGCCTGGGATAAAAATTGTTTTTTTTATTTTCACTCACTCCTTTGTTCTTACTTTTAAATGGTATTTGAATCACAATAATCATTATATTTGATATTGTATACATAATAAATTAGGATGCTGGTGTTTCAAATCCCGTTATTGCATTTTGAAACTGACCAGTTCTTAGCTATGACGAAAGAATTCCGCTACCATATCGAAATAATAGGCTACCATATGTTCCCTGTCTCCCACACATTTGCGTCGTGTTGGTGTTGTTTGTTGTTTGTGTGGATTGATTGGGTCGAGTGAGTGGTTTCATAAGGTAAGAAAGTTCGATCTATATAGCGTGGTAAGGCTACGCGTCCTATTCCAACAACAACAACAACCGTGGTAAGGGAAATACGACTGATTTCACATGTCATGACAATTGCTTGTTTTTTTATGGTCATCAATATTTTCATGCTGGTTGACTAGCTGCTAATGTACTTTTGATGTGCACTTCTAAGTAGGCTCTTCTGAAACAGTTAACAGTTGCGTTACGATTCAGTTTGGTTTCCCATTTTGGGACAGACAACTTCCATATCTTAAGGAAAACAAAACAGTATGCTCTAAACTAGCATATTTGTCATAGACCAGCTCAACCCTCGCCCTGAGCTCTGTTTGGTCGCTGTTTTTTATCGGTGTGCTGTCGGTTTTCCCCATATAAGGAAGTTATTGCTGGCGCTTCTTGGCCTCTCATTGATCTAACGAATAGACCACTTGAATTCGACCAATGAGAAGCCAAGAAGTAGCAGCATGCTCGCAGCCTGCTGATAAATAAACGGGAGGGGGGGAACAGAGCTATGGTTTAAGACTTAAGTGCCCGGATCACTCGTTTGAGTCAGCATCATGCCCATAACTGTTATTCAAGATGCTCATGTTGATATTGATGCTGAAGCTTAGTTTCAATTCACAGCTCTGGCTGTGACCTAGGCTTACTGTCCTTTATACACCATGAGGATGAGGTGGCCTGGTTGGAGCACATGCACAGCTGGCCTGACCACACAGCAACACTGCCAAGTGCCAGGTGGTTGCCACCTGGACATGTCGATAACTGTCAAGATGAAGTCCTAAGAAGATTTCAAGGATAATTTTTTTTATAATCTATCACTATTTGACATCCTGAGACCTGAATCCAAAAATGATACTTACATGTTTCACAATAAAAGGAAAAAAAACAAACTAAATTCAACCTGACCTAACCTTACCTACTTAACCTTCGCCCCAGTGGGGGGGGGCATATGTTACCACCCTGTCGCGTTTTTTGCGTATAAATAAAAAACCGCGGCGCGTAGCGCCGCGCCGCTTGGGGTAGCTTTTGGTACATCAATTTTGGACAATGTGTGAAATTTTTGACCCCAGGTCATGTCAGGTCAGGTCACCAGGTCAAGTTAACTGTTCAAGCCTAAAAAAAAGTTTGCAATCATGTCCAGCCTGCAGTGTTTGTCAGAAAGGTTTTAAACTTGGTGGATTGCATGCTGTTATGGGCGCCTACAATTTGTATATCTCGGATTTTTTATATCCGTGACCTAAGGTCAGGTCAGTGGCGTGACCTTTCCATTACAAGTCAATGGAGAAAAATGAAAATGCCTCTAGATCCGTGTGTACGCATCGGAACAGTCCAAATATTTCAGAATCACAATGATTTAGTCCACTCGTGATGACCAAGGTGTCATTTTTGCTGATAGCCTCCAGACAGGTCATCCGAGGTCACTTGAGGCTACAAACAGTTTTTTGCCAATAACTCGCGATTGGAAAGAGATAGAACGCTGGGGATGGTCTCATTGTGTTTGTCTTGTTGAGACGCATCGACTGATATGCAACATTACCTTTTCCGGTAAGGTCATGACCTTGACCTGAGGTCAAATTTTAAAGTTGACCTTTCAAGGTCAAATTATAGTTCAATCGACGCGTCTCGGCGAGGGGAACACGATTCTGGCAATAGAAATGCCGTGGCTTTTTGTAGTCGAAAGTTATTGTCGAAAAACACTTTTCGTAAAAACAGCTATTTTTGGAGTTTTTGGCCTCTGGAGGCTAAACCGTTGACCTGAGGTCAATATTGATAATGACCTTTTCAAAAGCAGAGTTCAAAAGCTATCGATTGCTCCCCCATGCGTTTTTCTAGCTACCATAGTTCCTGAGATAGCGGTATGTTTTCTGAAAAATATCATGACAATTGGCAAATTTTGACCTTTGATGACCTCTGGTGACCCCAATATTGCTCTAAGGTGAAAAATGACTGAAATACTTTCAAACGTACGCATTGAGAGCTATCGACTGCTTTTTACCGCGTCTTTCTAGCCCTCTTAGTTTTTGAGTTAGAGGTGGGTGGTAACATATGCCCCCCCCCACTAGGGCGAAGTTGGCTGAGACCGCCACTGGGGCGCGGGTTAACTACAACCTACAGACAAACCTACAACCGCTTCAACCTAAGAACCTACAAACCTACCAACCTACAACCTAAAATTTCTGCTGTTTCATATTGGTATCAACATAAACAATAAAAATAAACAATAAACAATAAACAATTTCAACCAGCTGTAGGAAGCTAGGCTGCATAGAGTCTGTCAGTCAATTAATTTTAGTTGGTGCTGGAGGGAGTGTGGGTGTTACGAGGTTAAACTTCATTGTAGGTCAACAATCATGTTGTCAGTTGAGGTGCTAACTATTATAGTTTAATGTCTCTATGGGTGCTTGAAGATGAATCTATTATAAATTTTCAATAAGTAATTCTAGGAGGCAGGTACTCTACCATGCTTCTTTCCAAAATGTTGCTGGCTCTGCCAATTGCCAGCAATAGGTAGGTAACTACAGTTTTTCTTGTAAGGACTTGTCTAAATACTGTAAGTAGTTTTTCTTACCCCCACATTTGTAAACAGCATGGACCGGATTATTCTACCAATGAGAGACAAATAAACACAAAGAATCCTGCAGCACAGTAATATAAAAGGATGACCAAGCAGTATTCCTGCCTACTGTGAAATGCCTGACTTAGTAAAGTCATCTTGATCTAGAAGGAAAAGAGGATGACATCAGACATGAGTGACTGGGTAATTTCTTAGTGGAGAAGCATAAATTGGATTGTTGTTATAAAGGTTAGATTGATAATTGAACATCATTATAACTAAAGACCTTCTGAATACCTATTTCAAATTTATTTGTTGTTTGTTTCAGCCGAATATTATTTGCCAGCTGAAGATTAGCTACCTGCTAGGATCATTGGCTTGTCATTGAAGAAAAAATGAGTCAGGGAATTTCTGAAGAGGAATTCACACAGCTTCAAGTGAGTTTCATCATTGCTCATGGTTCAGTGCAAAATATTGTAAAATTTATTTAATGTTTTATAACCAATTTCAGTTGATAAAACATTGACAGAATGTAAGCCTGATAGATTAATTATCTACACTGCAAAAGCATGTCAAGATTTATTCACATCCAAAAGGCAAATTGCAGATGTTGTAACATCTCATTTTGACTGGAATTGCTAAAAAAAAAAAAAAAACTAAGATTCCTGTCTGGGACATTTTTCTTCATTGTGTGAAGCAAATGTAACTGTTTTTCTTTCAGAACCAGTTTTTGGAGCTCAAAACTACCAATTATGCTTTGGAAGATAGGAATAGAAAGCAGGAGGCAGGTGAGTCCCATCTGCACTATGGCATTTCAACTTTTTTCAAGCATCATTGATGTGTGGAAGGGTGTAGCTCTGTTAGTTGGATGCTTCCTAATGCCTAACTTTCCATTTTATGATACCCAGTGTGGTGAAAGTAATGTTTTGTCGTGCCATTCACGCTCATTGACACATATGATGTGTTTTGTTATCCAATTACCGTTTGCCGTTGTCCGTGCAGCTCTGTCGGAGCTGCAGGCGCGACTGCAGCGGTCAGCCGCCGAGACGGCGCGACTACAACAGGTGGTCGATAAGAGCAAAAAGGCGCGGGAGCTGGAGCTGCTGATGCAGGCCAACACCAACCTCGAGAAGAAGCTGCTCTCTCAGGAGGACGACTTCCGCCTGCAGAATCAGACACTGCTGCAGGAACTGTCCGTGGTCAGTTCCTCCAAAAGCAAACTAGTATCAGAGGGTGATGGCGACATTTATTACCCTTAAGAATTTCAAGCTCATTTTCATTTTGATGTGGTAACTATGTTTTGTTTCGCATCTGTCTGGTTTTCCACTTCCTACGATGCTATCCTACGTTTATTTTCACGCTTATTTCCCACGTTTCTGCGTTTCCACGTTTCTGCGTTTCCACGTTTCTGCGATCTTTTGATGTCTGTCTCGATGTGAGTTCACCGTGACGTGACGACGTGACGTCCGTGGCCCGTCCGTTTCAGTACGTTTCCGCCAATGAGAAGCTGGAACAGGAGCTGAAGGCACTGCAGGCGGGCAAACCGGAGCTGCTGGAGACACAGTACGCTGAGGAGGTGAGTAGGCGGGCGCGCCGGGGAGGGGGTCATGTGCGGTTTGGAGGATGGGTGCGGAAAAGTCGCAAAGCACTGGGTAGAGGCTAGTGATGTCAATTACAGAAAATCGGAATACCGATACCAAACCAAATACCAACCAAAACCATGGAGAAATACCGAAACCAAACCAACTTGGGAAATTGAGGGCAATACCAACTCTTTACCGATTTCTTGGCCTGTTATATACATTAGTGAGGGCCCATGGTACCAACAAAATACCAAACACATTACGATTGAAATGCCAAATACCAAGTTGGTATCGGTTTGGTATCGGTATACCAAAAAGTTGGTATCCGATTGACATCTCTAGTAGAGGCAATGTGTTTCGTGTGTTCTTTGCTAAACTGAACAATAATGGACTATATAGGGACGATTCCAGTCGAAACCGAAAACAAAATGTCGCGTGGGTTAGAGAGGTTTGTCGATGTTTAGGTATGCTCTTTGTATGTCCACTTTGTAATTATTTGTGTTCATGTTTCCGTTTCTTTCCATAGTTTTAATCAAGACGTGCTTTTTCACCTACTTCAAATTTACTTTTAACTTTTCTCTTGATTTTTACTTTTGGTTATATTTCACTTCAATTATCGCGTACTTTTTATCCATCCCTTCGTGTTCAGGCGCTGCGTCTCCGTGCCGAGAGCGAGGCTCTGCGGGAGGAGCTCGGCAGCTGCCGCCGTCAGACGGAGACTCAGCTGACTGAGCTCAGGGACAAGGTCACCGCCCTGACACAGGTCAACACGCAGCTGGAGAGAGCCGCCCGGCCAGAGGACGCCAACCCGTGAGTTCGCAGCTGGAAGATCAGGCAGTTTGTTGAGTGTTACCTCAACTTATTCAGGCACGGGTACTTTTAGTTATCGAATTCAACTGAAATTTTTATGATATTTGCTGGTTTTTTATGCTGGTTCACTTATTGAAATTCTAAATCCATCGTAGAGCTGTTTATTTGCAATTCAATGGAGTTATGATGGAAACATTGTATGAGTTATGGAAAATATGCGTTTAAACCGCACTCACGCTTGGTTCACTGCATGAGAGTTCTCGTAGTTCACCCATTCCATTCCCGTCCCCGTCGCTGCCCGCAAAGGGTGGCCACGGAGGATGCCGAGTATGTGGAGGTGGGCTCCGGCGAGGTCTGCTACAAAAAGGCGGCCGGCGGCGCGCACGAACTGCTCGAGGCAGCCGAGCACAAGATCCAGGAGCTGCAGAGCGACATCGAACAGTACGCCGGTGAGCGACAACGCTGTGCACGCTTGTATTTGCAGTTTATGCGGAGTTGTATATTGTGATTGTGAACGAAATGTTCTGCTTTCTGTAACTTCTTATGTAGTTATACGGTTTCAGTTAATAACGCTACCTACTATTATTGGTGTTAAGTTCTGAGCAGGCTGTTCTTGTTCTTGCATGATCATCGTTTTTTATTGTACCCTTTGATATGGCGGGATCCCTGTCATTCGTACTTTGTGACCAACTTTGCCATTTTTTTCGTATAGTACAATATTTTATATCGATGAATCGTATCAGTCCATTGACACTCCGATACTGTCCCGTCGTTTCCAGACATGCGTCTGTCACTGGACACCACGCGCCGAGAGCTGGAGCTGGCCCGTACCGAGCTGCGGCGACTGCGGGAGACGGGCGGCGCCAGCTCCTCCTCCGGAGGAGGAGGCGGGGTCGAGGCCGAACAGCTGCGACAGAAGCTGGCCAAGAAGCACGACAGCTACCTCAGCCTGCAGGCGGAGATGGAGGCGCTGCGACAGAGCAAGCAGTAAGTATTGATTGACTAATGGGGACAGGACATAGGTGGGTTGTTACTAGACTCCAAGATGGAAATGATAGTTTTGGAGTTGAACCCTACGAGGTGCTATGTTCCGAAGTAACTCGGATGTTTTGTCGCTGTAGATCGGAGATCGACGACCTGAAGCAGCAGCTACAGAAGGAGACGGAGGAGGCCAAGGCCAAGATGCAGCGATACCAGACTCAGGTGAGTGACTCTGCATAGAGGAATAGTTAAAGAGGACGAGTTTCACTCATACATTTTAGGTGTGGGTTGCATTGTGAAATAATTGTAGGCATACGAAGATGAAGACCATCGCTATGTTTTTGTTCTTTCGGAGTAGAACGAATAATTGTGGGCTCAGAATGTTGCGGACATCCTGCAGCATCCCCTATCCATATACTGCGATAGTGTATTTAGTGAACGACGTTTTAAAACAACCGAGCCATACTGAGCGGTTACGATGCCCTTATGTCTGTTTCAGCTCAACAACGGCTATGCGGTGCTCAAGGCTGAGCGGGAGAAGGCCGCAGCCACCATCACAGGCCTGACGGAACGACTCGCCAAATACGAGTCCGTGGTGAGTCTGGATGAGCTGGCATGTTTGTGATAACGTCATGGTATATTGTGAATGCTACCCACCAGTTTTGTGATTTCATTTTGCTTAACCCGCGCACCGACGGGGGGGGGGGGCGGATATCCGCCCCCCCCCCCTGAGGTTTTTCGCGAATAGCGGGAAAACCGCGGCGCGTAGCGCCGCGAAATTTGGTATGACTATTCCCTTATCAATTTTACACATGGTGTGCAAGTTTGAACCTCCTACCTTTCAAGGTCAGGTCACCAGGTCACTTTGAATGACCCAACCTCAAGTCACTTTTTTGCAACTTTGTCACCGTGCCAGAGCTACAGTAGTTGTCGGAGGCCTTTGAAAGTCGCAGGATGTTATTAGGTCATTAGTAGCTACAATTTGTATATCTCGGAATTTTGATATCGGTGACCTAAGGTCAGGTCAATTTCGCGACCTCCCCATTATAAGTCAATGGGGGAAAAAATCAACTCCCTATTTTTACCACTGAAACGGGTCGGAATGGCCCCATATACCATACATGACTTCATATACGATCAACCTTCACTACCTTGAGGTCTGTTTTGCTGTTGGGCAGCTGTGAGGTCATGTGACGTCATCAAAGGTCACCAAAGGTTTTTGGCCAATAACTCCGTACAGGAACAAGATACAGACGCGTGGATGGTCTCATTGTGTTCAGCTCGTCAAGACGCATCGAATGATATACATGATGACCTCGAGGTCACGTGACCTGAGGTCAACCTTTGACCTTGACCTTTCGAGGTCAACATATATATCATTCGATGCGGATTGACGAGAGGATCACGATGATGCCCTTAGTTTGTTCCTATCTTGACTAATTCGAAAGTTATTCGAGAAAAACTCTCTCCATATTTAGCGCCACCATTTTGACTTTTTCGACCCCTGTGACGTCATCTTTGACCTGACCTGAAAATGACCTTTGTAAAAATTGTAGATCTTGACCGTGCGTATCCGATGCCGTTTACCGCTTGTCGCTATCTTGCTTCGTTCTCGAGATCTCAGGGGGGCGGTCATCCGCCCCCCCCCCCCCCCCCGTCGGTACTAAGTTGGCGCAGACCCCCGTCGGTGCGCGGGTTAAAGTTATTGCTCTCGTCGCATCGCTAGCGGGAACAGGTATCACACAGTACATACGCGCTACGCGTATCTCCTGTGCCTACCGCTTTTACAACAGCTCGCCTTCAGTGACACATCACCTCCGTCTGCCCACAGGACTCTCCAGACGACGGCACGTCCGGTGGTACGGCGGACTCCACCACCGCTCCCTCCTCTACCATCGACCCTACCGAGACCGTCCGGCTGGCCGCTCAAATCACCGACCTCACCTCTCGGCTGGAGGAGACCCGACGCACTGCCGCGGCAGCGCAGGAGACATCCGCGGCGCAGCTCAGAGAGACAGAGAAGCGTCTCCAGGAGACCCAGACGCGTCTCCAGGAAATCCAGACGCGTCTCCAGGAGACTGAGGCGGCGCTGGGAGACGCTCAGACGCGGCTGGAGGCGCGGACGGCGGAGCTGGCCGAGTCTCAGCGTCGACTGGCGGAGACGGACGAGAGACGCACGGAGACGGAGGCTCGTCTGCAGGAGACGGAGGCGCGCAGAGCCGAGACGGAGACGGAGCGGGACGACGCCCTGAAGGTGAGAGAGTCGTTTGCTACATGTTGGATCGGGAGCACTTTACAGTTTGCTGCTGATTTTACTAGAGACTTTGGCATCCCAATCACAGCGCCCGTTGATAGCAATTTGCGTTGATATTTTCTTATTCCGTTATTCCACTTTGTCGGTTACTACTTGTGTAAAATTCATGGAAAAGATAGGGTGTGCTGCCGAATGTATAAAAGGATATTTTCAACGCAAAACGTAAGCATATGAATCATTAATTTAATCTTTGCACTCTGGTTTTTAGCCGTCCTAATCACTTCTCACCTCGCTCTCCCGTTCCAGCTGGCGCAGAAGCGTAAGTCGGTGCTGGACGAGATGGCGATTCACATCCAGCAGCTAACTGTGGAGCACAGTGAGGCACTGGGAGCGGCCGAGGAGGCGCGGCGCCAGGTGCAGGCACTGGCTGACAGCACAGCCACCGAACTGCAGGTATAGCTAGATGAGGGAGGGCTTGATAAAAGTACAGGGGTTATTGGTGGCAATGCGGGCTTAGGCCTGCTGTACACTGTTAATGATGAGTTGGCCATGTCGCATAATTTATTGCTGGGCTTATTTTCTCCATTGATCATATTTGATATACCAACCCTAGAACAGTGCATATTCAGTATAGATCTTCTTGTCATATCGCCTTCATTTTGCTGCCCTCAGGAGACCCGTGATAAGCTCTCCCGCGTCGAAGCCGAGCTGGGCCGAGTCCAGGAATCACTGGAGGCCGAGCGTCGACAGCGTCAGGAGCAGGAGCAGCGAGCCGCTGATCAGGAGCGGGAGCTGACGGCCCGGCTCCAGCAGGAGCAGCAGGAGCGGGATCAGGAGCGTCAGCAGCTGCGGCAGGAGAAGGAGGCCGCCGAGCAGGCGCATGCCGAGACCGTGAAGGTGAGGCGTGACAATATGCTGCGTGCTACGACTTCTAGAAATGCGAAGTGTTCTATGTGTGCTAATGTTAACTGCTAACTGAAGCCATGTGAAGACCAGTGCCCCTTGGAGTAGTAGAATCTCTAAAATCTATCTATGAAGATTCACGAAGACGCTCACCAGACGCAAAATTCGATGGATGAAAACATCGAAGTGAAGGATTTGTGACTGTTATATCACCTTTGCTACTTATTTGATATTACCGATGCCAGTCGGTTATATGCGAGATATTCTTGGGCATTATGCGTGCAGTCACGTTACGACACTCTCCGCTTCTCTCCATCAGGACCTAAACACCCAGCTGGAGATCAGCTCAGCCCAGCTGTCAGAGTTCAAGGAGAAGGTGGCCACCCTCAGACAGGAGGTGAGTCATTTCCGGGCTGTTTGCCAACTGCCAACCGTTATCATGGTTTATGTCAAAGGGGCCATCACGTCACAGCATTTGTGGGTGGAGGAGATCACCTGAAAAGCTGTTGGTTGCTGATGCGTAACAGAATACACCTGTGAGTTGAAGTTTATTGTGACGTGTTTCAGAGGTGTTACGATAGCCGTCAACTCAGCATCGTTCTGTGCAATATTTAGGCAGTTGTTGTGTCTTGTTTATAGTATTTCATCCTGCCTGTGATGGCATTATTCCCTGGTGTCCATGTGCCTATGGCAGAGTTGCGAACGAATCCGTAACGCCACCACCCGCCACGACCTCCTCCCGCAGGTGAAGGACAGCGTTGACGAGAAGCGGATCCACGAGCGGAAGGGCGCCTCGATCACCAAGGACCTGCGGCGACAGCTGGCACAGGAGCGGCGCCGGGCTGACCGGCTACAGCAGGCGCTCCAGGACACATCGTTCGCCGACAAATCAGGTGCGCGTGGTATACGAGTATGCGATTTGTCTGTGGTCGTGGAGGGTTTATGGGCTTTGTGCTGTGGAACACTTAAAACAGTCTTCTAGTTGCGTTTTTTTTATAATGACCCCGAGGCAGTGAAAAAATGTGTAAATTTTCCTAATGGCGATTTCGCCCAATTTCACAACCCGTCAATTTGGCTATTTGCTTATCGTTTGTTAAGTTGAAAACGGTTGAACGCAGCGATAAGTCTGATGTTCCCGCTGCCCCCCCCCCCCCAGCAAAGCTCTCTCCCCCCTGAGTCGGACGCTCAGTCGGTGTCCAGCTGTAGTCTGACTCCCCCTCCCTCCCCAGCCGAGCTGTCCCCTCCTCCCGAATCGGACGCCCAGTCGGTATCCAGCTGGAGTCTGATGAGTGGGGAGAATGGCGGCGCGGCACCTCCCTCTGTGAACGGCAGTGGCGACTCGCCGGTCGACACCGAGACCGTCAGTCTGCTGGCGCGCATCACACGGCTTCAGGTCAGTCCCGTCACGGGGGCGTGATTATGGAAGACATCAACCGCCGCAGCGGTATACTGCCGGTAAGATAGTTGGTATGTACCTACACTGGAGCTGATTCAATGACTTGTGAGAGGGGAGGGGCGAGGGTATTGAAGGGTGTTGAATGTCTGCTTTATATTTGTCGGCATCAGTCATTTGTCACTTACGTCACATTTGTCACTTCGATGCAAAACACATCTTTATGCGACCGGCCCTCTAGTCATGATGAATGATCGTTGCCTGCAAATCTGATGACTTCACTCAATATGCTCGCAATGGCATTGACGTCTTAGTTTCCCTTCGGCCCGCTTGCATGAATGTGCCTTCTTTTCACTCCACTCACCGCCATGCCCCGTTGGCCCCCAGGAGGAGAAGTGGCGTGTGGAGGAGAAGCTGAACCACCTGGAGCAGAGCAGCGGAGCGCTGGCCGACGACCTGGCCAACAAGGCGGCGCTGATCCAGTTCTACTGTATGGAGGGACGCCAGCCGACCGGAGCGGTGCACTCGCCGGAGGGTCGGCAGAGGACTGGTATGGAAAGGGGAGAGGGGAGCAGTGGGGGGAGGGGGGATATGGCCGGAGCGGTGCATCGCCCGAGGGACGACAGAGGACTGGTATGGAAAGGGGAGAGGATATTAATCTGCGGGGGGGGGGGTGAATGGGTCTGGAGAGAAACAGCCATCGCCTGTGTGGAATACCTATGTGTTGTTGGTGGGGACGGGGATGGGCTGATTGACCGAAGTGGGTAAATTTGTAAGGCAGCAGTACATATCCCCTTCTTCTGAGGCACAGCTAATGATTTGATATTTCTCTTTGAAGAAAGGGACTGTCTAACTCGTTCCATGCAATTGATCCAGTTTTCCTGAACGTTAACCCACGACTTTGAGGAAGAATGGTTAGATATGGGCGCCATATAGCCTCGTTGCTGGTGCGCCCTTAAACACCAGATCATCATCAACAACTAAATCGTCCCTTTTATCACGACAGGCGGCGCTGAGAGCCTGACGCCCGTGAAGAAGCTGGTGGACTTTGTGAAGCACCTGTCTCTGGACGAGCAGCAGCGAGAGATGCAGCGTCGGATGCAGCGCATGCTGGAGGAGACGCTCACCAAGAACATGCACCTGCAGAAGGACCTGCAGATCATGTCCAAAGAGCTGGAGGCCGCCCGACGTCAGGCGACGCAGTCCTGAACGAAAGGCGAGAGTCGGGATAGCGTGCGGGTTTTGTGAAGTGTATTTAACTTTGTGAACTTTTTTGAGAATTGGGGATTGTTGCTTTTGTGACTTGTATCCAATTTAGTGTGATATCTGGGGAGTTTAGTTAAGGCTCATTGCCCATAATATGTGTCATGATGAGAATTTCGGGGATTCGTGATTTTAGGACGTAGGCATATCGTCCCCGTCACTTGAAGTGTTTGCACTTTTCGGGACTTTATTGAGCTGCGCCTCAGAATGTGGCCGAAGCTTCACTGTTGGACATATCGTGTCTATAACGGTTCGCCTGAGCTGCCATTGCTGCTTTGGACGTCCAGTAGCGAATGGCCGTCAACCCAAGAGTTCCACGAAGCCGCCTAGTGTCGCATAATCTTTCCTGCGTAGATCTGACGCGGGATGAGCTCCGCTCTGTAGCGCGGATCTGTCGTGGCTCGCGCTCCCATTGTGTGTATTCTGCGCCGCGCCTGAATGATCTGATGTGCAATGTGATAGCGGTTTCCTGTGCGGCCCGGCGCAACCAGAGAATATGTTTTGTACCGTGGTTGACGTGTGTTCCGAGGTAATGGGGCGTGTTTTGCGGGTGTTGGCTGCTCAAAGCGGAGTTTCGGACGTTTGTTGAGAGACTTGAAATGTTGGGGAGTGTTCCTTGGGGCAGAATCGGGTATCGCTACAGAGCTAGAGAAATTAGATGAACGCAGGATCGGCTGTATATTTTATCTGAGCTGCGTGATTGTGCGGGCTTTGCACAGACTACTTTTGTTATAAAAGTATGTCCATTGTTTAGTACCACAGCCGGGCCCTAATACGGGGCTAGTTGTTTGTGCGGTCCGCCTGGCTGGCGACTCCAGCGCGCCGCTGGCAGCGGTGCTTCACCCTGTGGCAGTGGGCAGCCTGGTTCATGTTCGCTTGTCGTGGTCATTCAGGCTCTGGGAGGCCAGATATATTCACATGTAATACATCTGTGGCGCAGTCAGCACAGCAGAAGAGAGACATTTTATACCCTCTGTAGCTTAGCGACCTGAATATGTATTCGAATTGGGCTCTGCAAGAGTCGAGGAATGGTGGTGTGCTGAATTGTGATTGGAACTGCTTTACTGAAATGGGCCGCGGGCAGCATAACATGCGACCTTGCTTTGTGTGTTTAGCGGTAACACTATCAGTAATAGCGCTTTTGGTAGGTCTATTTTGGGCAATGGACGCTTTGAGGCTAACGATGTTTGCAGAAGTGCAGCTATATTTTATCCAGTATATTTTATTTTTATATTACCTAGTAAACCTCGGCGCCTTCCGTCTTGCGGCTATCAGCTGTCAGTTCATAGTCAATGACTATTAACGCCGACTAGGGACTTGTGTGCTACCCGCGCCGGGCTCTGTAATAACGGCAGTACACAATGCGTACTAGATATATTTATTACAGTTCGTAAATACATGTACACACCACAATACCATCTTTCTGAGGAGTCCCAGGATTTCGCCAGAGCGGTGCTCAAAGGAAGCAAAGTGCGGAACGGAGGGGAGCGTAATTCCATCGATAAATCCACGTCCGTGTTAGGCCACCGCAGCTGCATTGATAAGTCGATGGTACGGAGTCAACAAAGAGGGTCCGTGATCGACCACACAGGGGTGTTTCCCTGCCGGTACAGGGGGAGGTTCGACCGGGTACGTACCGGCCGTAGGTAGGTCGATACCGGGCGGGGAGGACGGGCGGTCAGACAGTACTGGCAAGACGTGGCGTAAATGATGCGCCGCTCGTGACAGACCGGTTGAATAAAAAACATTGAGGAATGCTGAATAACAGGCCAATATATGGAGTGCAAGAGTTTCATTAACCAACCGACAGCGATCAAGAGAAACAGTATAACTGAAAGACAAAATAAAGCAGTAGCAAGTAACTAATCAAGAGCGATGTTACATCGCAAGCATCTACATTCATAGGCTAAGCACCAGCAAGAGGCTTCTCAAGCTTCGATGTGAGCATATCGTCTGTCGTCAAAACATTATGTACAATCTCCAGTGAGAACCCGAAAATAAACCTGACAGAATCACGGAATGACGGCACAAAAGGCCAGCATTCAACAGTCGACAGTACAAGCTATCTACAAAATACCGTGCCACTATCACTTACGCGGGTGCTCCAACTCAACAGTAAACAAGGGTGTGGTGCTTTACTCGACCGTGCGTATAACCAGTCACCTTCACAACAGACACCGCGACCACAAGCTACAGCCAGCTCCTCACTACATATATAAATACCATCGTTGGATAAGTACGGACATTCTAGCTAGACCTCGCGCACAAGATGCCCAGAACTGTATGCCATTAACAAGTTCACGCGAGTCGCATCATTTAGCAATGCCGTTCTGGCGGTATCACCCGAGATAGGTATCACCTCAGCGACAGTATCACCGTGTATCGTCTTCGGCGCGACAATCGGTTAGCGCTGCTGCGCTCAGCACAAGTTTTCGCTATGCTTACTTAAACAAGGAACCATACTTGCCCATCGATCACAAACCACGGCAAGCAAACGATCAACGTCCTACCACGCGGCAAAATTCTCACAACTCTAAACTCGACGGCAAGACGTCTACGTCAGAACACAACGAGCGCCCAACTACGCTCGAGCGCCGGCAACTTTCGGCCTCGAATTTGCCTCAAGCCCTGAGCGACTTAGCATACGAACTTACCAGACCGTCACTGTCAAGTCTTATCGAGATAACAAGGCTACAAGGGGAGTGATTACGTTCCCCTGAGACGGCTTACCGCACCAGGGGGGGGGGGGGGATTCGCTCGTCTCCATTGTCATCTCATGGAAAGGTTGGATAAACGCTAAAGGGCTACATGGAATGCACAAATAGCAAACTTGAACGATCATATTTACTGTCATGCTACGCTGAACTTCGAAAAATGATCCAAAAACGGTACCGAAACGCCCTCCAATGCACACCTCGAAAGTCGACGCCGAAATACTGTGTTCAAAATAGTTATTTTGATAAATATAGTGGTCACTTCTGACACAGTAACTACCGGAGTTAGTGATCCTTTCGTTTGAACCACTTCACCCGTTTTCATCACACTGCTCTTTCTCCAAGCGTAAATGCTCCGCAGTCCCGGCAAGATTCAGCGCAACGGCGATTGAGTACCTAGCACTCCATCCAAAGACACGGTGATTCGTATAGAAGCGTATCGCGGTAGCCCAAAAGGCGGCTTATTGAAGTCACTGCTCGAAAACGGTGTAACACGACGTCTGAGGCGAATTGGCGTTCATAGCGACGCATAGTTCAACACCACTGGTCCATCGGGTTGGGATGCCTTGATGACAGTGTGGAAAAGCCATTTCACTGAGCGATGGAGCCGTGCCAGTCGTCTAGTCGTCAGGGAACGATCTTTGGCCGCACTACCGGAATGTCATCGTCTACTGAGTTTGGTTTCACTTCACAGGCTGCCTTGTCACTCAGCGAATGGTGGGACACTAGCAATGAACGACGAACCACCAGACGAGCTACTGTACAAAAGCATGCTAATCCCAGACACTGGTTTTCACCTCCAGCCCGAGTCCACCACGGCACCTCTTCTCGGTCATAAGCATCGTCCCATTATTCGACTCCGGCGGACCAGCCGCCGCTGTAGATCTGAAGCCACCTCCCTGTCGGCGGCGGAGGCGGGGGCGGGGGCGGGGGCGGGGCGGTTCTAGCGCCGCCGTCTCAGCTGTCCCGGCTCCGGCACGGTGAACTGACGAATGGTGTCCAGATGACGGCCCAGCTCAGCCCGCAGGATCTGCGCCGCGTGGATCTGGGATCGCGCCAGCTCCGCCATGTCAGAGAGGATCTCCGTGGAGCGCAGACGCTGCAGCGCGCGGATCTGGAGAGAAGACAAAAACGTCAGAGAAAGGGAAAATCTGAAGAGATTCACAGATACACACTTCAGTGTGCTGAAGTTAGCACAGCACACTTGAAGCTACCTATCCACTCTTGTAGAAATTAGGTTAACGAGAAAAAAGTGACAAACAGACTTTGTAGTTAACACAGCTCATGGCAACACACTCCATTCAGCCAAGTCAACAAAAACGCTTAACAAAAACACTAATACATCATGGCAGCTTCCTAATCCCATGCGTAATATCGACGCCACCACAGCATCACAGCTCCAAATCACGGACTTCTCTCTCCTTTATCAACACCTTCCCTGCCAGCCAGCAGAGTCGGCCTTCCCGTGGCCTCCGGCGAGCGCACGGCATGACGACAGCAACTCTCCACTCGAGAGAGCACGATAGTGACACCGCGGTGTAGGCTGACACGCACGCACTGACCCAAACGCGCACTGGCTGAAACACACACACACACGCACAGACCCATACAAGCACTGACTGACCCAAACGCCTTCGCCCGCACGCATGTTCACAAATAAGAAATTACGTGAGTAGCAAAGCACGAACATCGACGTCTTTTTCAACAAACGTTTCAAGTTAGTAGTTTCACACGGCATTCCCATAAGTCAAGAGTTCGTGACTCGTGACTACATAGGTGAAAACAGGACAATCTTAACAATAAATACGAGGGGAGATGGGGATTGTGGGTGGCCGACTTTCGGTGGTGAGATCTACAGCGGGTGACTGGGGACAACGAGAAGGAATGCTCGTATGTTACGGAGTACCTAAGTTCGTTGAAACAGAACAATATTGTTAGTAGATGCCAGTTGCAGGACAAGAACATAAAAAATGCTAGAGCATTGAAAATCCCATGAAGCAGGAGCAAGATCTGCTGAAGGCGCTGCAGGTTCCAAGGTTAAAAACCGCACAGGTACAGGTGAACGTTCAGCGGTCTAAGTAAGTAGCCGCAAATTCCAAGGTTACCCAACGTTGACGGGAGGCTCAGCCCCAGAAAACAATAGGCCGGATACCTGTCACGGTGGCCGTGGTGGTATACAAAGAGACGGTATCACACACATCCGGACCCACCTCGCTTTTGGCAGTGTCGGAGCACTCTTCGAAGGCCTCTTCCGCTCGCTGTTTCGCCTCCTCTGCCTAAAAAGAAAAGAAAAACCAATGTCACCATAATTGAAAACACAGCTAACACTAGGTACTCTCTTAGGCACAACAGGCAAACTCAAGAGCATATCTTAATCACCACCCAAAGTGGAGATTTCCACCCTACACCAATTCTCCGAAAACGACCCGCTAATGTGACCTAATATGCATCCTCCGTCGCCAGGCAGGGCGGACCGGCTCCGCTGGCGACCTCACATGCATCACCTCCACTGCAATTAGCAGGGCTGACCCGTGACCAGTGACGCAGTCTCATCCTTCTCATGTTCAGTGAGGCCTGACTGATGCCAGCCTCCGGCCAGCAGCTAACCAACGGACCAATTGCAGTGGCCAGCGCCGGGTCAAATCGTGCCCCCCCCCCCCTGAGGGTAGGTGCCGGCCTTGGTGTCGGCCGACCTCTGAGGGAAAGGGCTGCTGGTCCTCCGGCCCTCCGCCAGCCCCGCCCGACCGGACGCCGCGCGGGTTGCTGTGACCCGCGGGCGAATCTCGGCACCCAGATCTGGGGTCATCCGACCGTGACGGAGGGACGGCTGACCTCACCCCGCCGGGTAAACGGGGTGGTGTAACTCGCGTGGCAGTACAATATATTGCTACTGATGAGTTGGGCGGTATGCATACAACATTACTGAGGAGCTACTTAACCGGTGAATAGATGCACGCATTAAATAAATGAAACCTTAAATTATACTTGGACTCATAGCGCCGACGACGGGTGCTGTTTCAAACTCGGTTTGATATTGATGATAGACATCGACTGTATCTGGACTTTCCCAGCTGAACAGGCTCCCCTGGGCGCAGCGGAAACAAGCTGGTGATGTAAGGTTGGCGCCAAGATGCGTGGAGTATCCACCATACGATGTTTCGGTACCAGATATTTCCCCATCAGCACGGAAAAAGAAAAGCAGAGGCACATTTGCTTCTTTTCCCTTTTGCATTTACAGCTCAACATGTGTCATACCCAATATACAACAATAAAATTCGTTCGGCTGCTTGGAGTTCGGTGACAAAGTGTACGGTTACGGTGGATGGAATTGTTGCGATTGGAAGTGTATTGGCAACTTTGAAGTGACCAATGCTACTGCTTCAATAAATGTTCACAATCGTGGTATTACTTGCACTTAGCAAAACTCTCTCGACTCGTTAGATTTCTCCCTCGTGAAATCCCACCTCGCTCCCCCTAGCTACCTCGTGTGAAATCGGATTAATTGAAAACTCCAACCGAGATCACGTTTCCGATCAGCACGTAGCAACTCAACATGATCTAGCTGAACTACCTATGCATTGCCATTAAACCGCTGACGGATGAGCATTCACTAAAGAAAACGATACCACCAGCGATCATTACCCAGGACTTGACGAGGTCGTTACAAAGTTTTCACCTCGTTCCAAACACCTCTGCTGG